AGACGGCCCCAGCAGCAGCTGCCCAAACAGTTCTCGCCAACAATGTCACCCACCTTGTCTTCCATCACTCAGGTATGCGTGGCTGCCTCCACCCTTCCCATCTCTGAGACTCCTGGGCTTGGCTGCCCACCAGCCTCTTCCCTTCCCTCCCAGCCCTTCACCCTTTTTCTTCCTCTCATTTAGTTTCTGCATCCCACTCCTTTTTCCTTGTATTCCTCTTGTATATCTGTCTGCCATTTACCTTGTATCTTTCTCTTTCGATTCACTTCCTCATCTGCTCCACTTTCTACCCATTTCCCCATCTATTCCTCCCTTCAAACAGCTCTTATTTTCACTTGTATCACTTTGCATCTTCTCCTTTTCTCATACCCCTCCTCCCTTTCCTACTTCTGTCTTGCTCTCTTGTCATCCCTTTATTTTTTCCTCTACTATCCTAAGCCTCTTGTCCTTTCGGGCTGTATCTCTCTCCCTTTCTTTCCTACTCCATTCCTCCATTCCTTTTCTTCCTCTTTCTCTTCTCTCTGTCTATCTCCTCTGCTTCCCTTCCTCATCCCCATTGCCTGGGTGGGGATGTGTGTGTCTGGTATGTGTGTTCCATGTTCCATCTCAACCCTGGCAGGGGATTAAGGGATAGGTAATCCTTCTTCCCTCTGGAGCCTCTTTATATTAGCAACCACAGAGGGCTTATTTCCCTCTGAGAGGGCAGTAGGTATCTTCCCCTTTCCATACCTCTCTTAGTCCTTTCTGATCCCTGAATTCCTTATTCCTGTAGAGAAGCCACTTGAAGGGTAACTCTCCCCTTCTTCTTTCCCTTTAGGGTGTCCCCCTGGATACCAGTAAGCTGCCAGTTGACCAGCGACTGCCCCCATACCCTTATAGCCCTCCCAGCCTGCTTCTGCCCGCCCAGCCACCAGTCACAAAGCCATTGCAGCAACAACCACCACCTTCCCAGTCCTGTCCAGTCCAGTCACCCAGCGGACAAAGACATTATGGGGTACCATACCCACCTGCCTCCGCTGGGCAACAACCATATGCCCCACCCACAGGAGACTTCAGCCTGGGGAATGTGAGTACCCTGACCTTTCCATTTGAATAAGAGGAGGTTCAAGCAGTGTCCTTTACACTATTCAAAATAGAGAATGTCTGTTTCTAATAATTTCTGGGTGGGCAGGCAATGTTAACATTGCCCCACCCCCTTCACCTCCACTCCCGTATTGCTGATTACCCACTTCTTCTGTCCATTTCCCCCCAGCTATCTCTGCTCAACTCGCTCTTAGATGACTCCTGCTTTGACCAGTTTTCTTCCTGGCATGCACACTCTCTGTCTCAGCAGGTATGGTGCCTGGGTCCTTTTCTGGTACCATGCCCCCTGCCCTCACTCTTCTTGCTTGCTGTGTCCTCTGTCTCTTGTCTTTCCCCTGTGGACGGTGCGAATTATTGTGTAAATCTTAGGGAGTTGGGAGGGAGAAGCTGCCCCTTTCTGATAATGTGTTGTTAAGTGTCTTTGTCCATTTATCCCCCCAGCTAGAGCAATTCAGCATGGAGAGTCCATCAGGCAGCCTGACGCTGGACCCTCCCAGCTTCTCTGAGGGGCCGGGCTTCTCGGGGAATGATGAGCCAGGGGGTGGGGGGAGTGGCCCCCAAGACTCCCATGCCCTCAACCGCCAGAACCTGACACACTGTGCCCGCCATGGTCCAGTACCCAACATCATCCTCACAGGTGGGAGGATTATGGGGGAGGAGGACATTAGGAGCTGGATAGAATTAGAGGCTTTTGAGGAATGGGGCTGGGGTGGGTATGAAAGGTACCTGGAGAAGTCATAGTTGAAGGTTTGGAAGTGTCTCCCTCTAGTCCCTACCCTCCTCACAAGTGGTCTTGATCTTCACTCCTCTGCCTGCTCAGGAGATTCCCCCCCCGGCTTCTCCAAGGAGATTGCAGCAGCTCTGGCAGGGGTACCTGGCTTTGAGGTGGCAGCAGCTGGATTGGGATTGGGGCTGGGGCTGGAAGATGAGCTTCGAATGGAACCGCTGAGCCTGGATGGGCTGAACATGTTGAGTGACCCCTATGCTCTGCTGACTGACCCAGCTGTTGAGGACTCATTCCGAAGTGATCGACTACAGTGAGGGATGTAGGACTGGGCACAGTGTCAGCACCCCACTTTTCTCCTATCTTCCCTCCCACTACCCTTTTTCCCTTTCCCCTCGGCCAGTAGAGACTCCACTCTCTGCCCCCGGCCCTTTTCCCCAACATGAATGAGACCAAGGGATCACAGGATTGTATACAAAGGGAGGGATGCCTGCTTCAATGTATGGCATCGGGGGCAGACATGGAAGAGCACAAGGGAGGGCCTAAAGCACTTGTAACTTTGAACCGTCTGTCTGGAGGTCAGAGCCTGTTGGATGTCAGGGGGTGGAAGAGGGACTGGGTAGCAGGGCATGCCCAGGTGGTTGGCAGGGGAGGTTGCAGTGCTGGCCCCTCCCCCCAATTTCCCCTTCCTCCCTTGCAGGAGAGAGCCAGAGTGGATATTATTTTTTTTAAAATATATTATATGTTAATTAAAAAAATCACATCAAAGCCAGGGTGTACAACTGCTGTTTGGGGTTGGGGTGGTGGAGGAGGGGGGGCAAAGTGCTCCTGGAATGGGTGGAAGGGCATGGAGTTACGTAGAGTATCTCTTCTACTTTGCCTTAGCCTTTGACATTTGTGTTGGGCATGGGGACTTTAGCTGGATTTAGGTTCTAGGTAAGATATAGGATGCCAGAGCATTATGTGCTCACCTGTCCTGTACTCAGGACCCTGAGGATGAAAAAGGACCAGGGGGCTCCAACTGGCTTAACTAGTTCCTCACTTCCCAGCCTTGGGGCTTGGCAGCAAGCCAGGAAAGTAGCTGAACTCGTAAGCCTGGAGTTTCTGGCAGGCTGTCCCCTTAACTTCCCCTCGGTCAGTTGTTGACCTCAACCGAGGCTTCTAGAGAGAGGCAGTTGGAAAGACAAGGAAATTTTGATGTGCAGATAAGTTTGGGGGCTGAGTCTCTCTGCCTCCTCACTCGGACCAGAGGCCACTTTGTGATTCCATCATGCCCTTGGTTTTGGCAGACTTCAACATCATGCCTACTCCAAAGATGCATGCTTCAGTGGGATCTCTAGGGGCAAAATTTAGTGGAGAGGACAGCAGTGCTAGCAAACTTGATGGTGGGAAGGAGCATCAGTCTGCCAAGCTAATGTGACCAGCCAACCCTTGTTCTCCCCTGTATCTTCCTAATCCTCTTGGCTATTCCTCAGCCCACTTTTCAGCAGACATACCCTGTCCTGCTGTTTCCACTCTGCAGACTTGGGGAAGATAATGTGTCCCCTCCAACCTTGGCTCTTCCTCTTTCCAAAGCTTTTGTGCTCTCTAGAAAAGGGAACTGAGAACTGCAGGCTGCAGTTCTTTTGGAGTAGCAAGGATATGTGTGCATCCCTGAACTAAGAACGGGGATGGGGCTGTGTCACCCCGAGAGCTGTGGAGAGTTCAGGCTTAGCCTGGGCTTCAAGGTCCTCTTCGTTCCCCTCTGGAGCCGGGAAGGGGAGGGGGAGCGCTCGTGCAGAGGGCCCTCCCAGCCGCCAGGGGTCGGGCGTGGGGCGGCCCAGCCAGGGGCGGAAGAAGCCTCCGGGGTCATCGCGTCTGGGGGGGTGCTGGCACGGCGGGAGTGAGGGGTGGGGGTCAGCTGGAGGAGGGAGGGAACGACAGCGGAGTGAGCGGGCGCCCGGAGCCGGAGCCGGAGCCGGGCTGCGGGATCACGCGTACAGCCGGACCCGCGGCCGCGGCGGGATAACGGAGGCGCGCGGCGGGTGGGGCGCCGGGCTGCGGCTCCGCCGGGGCGGGCTCCCCCACGTACCCCCCCTGCGCCCGGGGCTCGCTGCGGCGAGGTTTACGCGCGTGACGGGCGGGGAGCCCAGACGGAACCACCGCGGGCGCGGGATGTCCGGGCACGGGTAAACATCCCGCCATCCTCGCCGGCCTCCCCCCCCTCCCCGAAGAGGGGGCAGGGGGAGGGGGGGCCCGGACGCCCCGCGAGGAGCTCCGAGGCAGGTAGGTCGGAAGGGGGTGGGGGTGAGCGGGGAGGTCTTCCCCCCCCTTCGCTGCACATCTGGTTCCGGTTCCTCTCTCCTAGGGAAGCGAAAGTGGTGGTGGGGGGAATGGGAGGGAGCGCAGGCCCCCCTCTTCCCCTTCCCCTGCCAAGAGCTGCTTGTAGTTCCTGGTCACCCTTCGCTAATGTGTCTGTCACACTGTCGCAGGCACCTGCCCCCCCCACCCTCGCCCAGCAGGGCCCACTGCCCCTCCAGTTTCGGCCGCCTCCCTGTCTGCTTAGTCGCAGCACCTTTTCTCCCCCCCCCCCCGTTCTTTTTTCTGGGCTGGAGATGTGGGTACCATGGGGGTAGGGAGGAAAGAAAGTGCCACCTGTGCTCCTCCTGGGATGGAGCCTAGGAAGATGCCTCCCTCTAGAAGGGGGAGGGGGGAGGAGGAAAGAGATGGTTCTAGTGCACGAGGGAAGTGATACAAGAACTGGGGTCATGAGAAAGGGGTACCCAAACCCACTGGCCAGACCGCCTAAGAGGTCAGTGCCTGCTGGGTAGTGAGTGGGGTGAAGGCGCCAGCCATGCCAGGTGGGGAGCTGAGGAGCTAAATTAGGATCCTGACGCTGGCTGCCTTATTGGCCTCACCTCTGGGGGTGGGGGTGGGAGTAGGAGCTAAATTTAGCCATGGGGGGGGGAAGTAGTGTAGGCTGTGGGCCAGGTTATGGGGAATGAACCAATCAGGCCCCCTTGGTTTCTCCTACTTGTTTGACTGAGGTAGGGGTAGAGACTGAGATTTTGATGGAGGGAGAAATACGAGATCATTAAGGGTCAATGCTGTTGGAGCCGCTTTCTGCCCTTTCAGCTTAGCATCAACTTCTTGTTGGGGATAACACTGTACTGGTCCCCACTGCAGCACTCCCTCCCCTCCACCCCCCCATACGTTGACTTCCGTCTGGCCTAGCTACAGCTTCCCCTTGGCTGTTTCAGGAAGTCACCTCCCTTCCCCTCTGATGCATCCCCCCCCTTTCCTCAGCCTGGCTGTACCGCCATACTCTCTGAGCTGCCATTTCCCCCAGGGCTCCCCAGGATCCCCTACCCCCTGCCAGGAACTCCCTCTCCCCTGGTGCTGGGCTATGGAAGAAGGTGAGAGGGGGACAGGCAACCTGGGTGGGCCTGCTTCAACTATAGGCTTGGGGGGGAGCAGAGGGAAAGGCAGAACCTCTCTCTTCTCTCTGGTTCTCATGGGGATTGGATGGGTTACATGAATAAGTAGAATTCACTTGGGTCTTTATGGAGGATAGAATAGTTATTGTGATTTTGTAGCCCTGGTTCTTATGGGAATTCAGAAGGGGGTCACTCTGATAACAGAGGTATAGTACTTGTAGCAGTGAGCCCTAGAAGAGCATTAGAAGGATTAGATTTCTCCCCTGATATCAGAGCTAAGAAACCATAGTTATGAATCCTTTAATAAGCCTGTGAAGTCAGCATGATGTCACAGCTAACCCATATGATATCAGTACTAGGGTACAGGCCCTAAAATAATCAGTTGAAGTTGCTATAATACCTGTGGTGGGGAGGCCCTTTAAGAAAGTACAAGATTACTCCAATATGAGGATGTCATAGCCAGAGTTGGGGGTTGGGGGAGGGAATCAGGCATAGGAAGGGTAGCAGTGATGTCACTGTAATGTTACTTGAGGGACCTGTTCTCTTCAAGGAGACACCAGATAGGCTGTGAGGTCATGGTGATGTCATAAGTGGGAGAGTTCAGGATTGGTCAGTCTCCTACTGTGCTTTTCTGAGTGAGTATGGTAGGGGGAAGAGGATGAGGGTCATTTAGTTGCCCTAGACACTTTGCCTTCTTCTCATCCCACCCCTCCCATCTCATACTCTTCCATATTTTGTCCCTTCCAGATGCAGTAAGTGAAGGGGGGGCCATGGCAGAGGAGCGGCCCCCCCGGCTGGTGGATTACTTTGTGGTGGCTGGGCTGGCAGGGAGTGGAGGAGCAGTCTCTGAGGAAACTGGGGGCCCTGAACCAGGGGGCCCTGTGCGCCCACCCCGTCCAGCAGAACCCATCACAGATGTGGCCATCATTGCCCGGGCTCTGGGAGAAGAGGTGCCCCAAGGCTACACTTGTATTCAAGCCTCGGCTAGTGGCCACCCCCTGGAGCTCAGTGCTGGGCTTCTGGGAGGCTCCCAGCCCACCATCTGCTATCGCAGAGGACGAGACAAGCCTCCCCTTGTTGAGTTAGGGTGAGTGACCACCCTTGCCATTGGCCTGGCCAGGGGCCTTGGAAGAGGGGAAATTGGGAGGGTAAGAATGGGACATGAAACGAACAGTCAAGTGGAATGACAGAGAAAGATGGAGAATGCAGTTTAGGAGGGGGAAAGGACAGAAGAGGGAAGGGATGGGGATAAAAGGGCTGAATGAGGAAGCAGGATGGATAGCAGAATGGGATGGAATAGAAGAGGGAGCAAGTTAAGGACAGAGTCCAAAGAGGAGGATTCAGTCTCTCGTGATGCTAACAACCAGGTAAAGGAAGAGTAACAGGTTTGGTGGGGTAAGGGGATGTGAACTGAAGGTTCAGCAAGATTAGGGCATTTCTTCTCTTTTCATGTGCTACATGTTCTTTTCTACTTAACTCACCAGGGTATTATATGAAGGGAAGGAACATCCTAAACCAGGTTTCCAGGTGCTGGAGACAACGCCCTACAGCCACTCTGCCAACCTGGCTCCTCCAGGCCCTGGGCATCCCCGCACCTACCTCACTTATCGACGGGCAGCTGAAGGGGCAGGGCTGCATGCCCTGGGTATCACTGATCTCTGTCTGATCTTGCCCAGCAAAGGAGAGGGAACCCCCCACACATACTGCCGCTTGCCTCGAAATCTTAATCCTGGCATGGTGAGCAGGAAGGGTAGAAACAACAGATGGGGTAGGGTTGTGGATCATGCCTGTAGGACACCAAGACTAAGGAGGATTTGTGGTGAGGTCAGGAGCTGAGGAATCCTGACTTCTAGGGGTCAGGTAGCAAACATTATGAGAGCAAGTCCCCTGGGGGCTAAGAATAATGAGTGCCAGAGAAATTCATAGATCAGGAGTAGGAAACTAAGAGCCCTCTTTCCATCTGAACTCTTTTTCTTGTCTTTCTTGTTCAGTGGGGCCCAGCTGTC